AAATTTCAAAGTTAAGGCATGACCATTGGTCAGCAAAATGCTCACTGGGACAGCGGGGTCAGAAAAAAAAACAGGTGAAGAAGAAAAGACGCATGTTAACTGTAAAAGAATTAAGAATTAATGTGAAGAATTAAGTGTGAAACCATCAGGAACCTTTTAGTCTCCAGCGCCACTATTTTCCAGAACTGCAAACTTGAGTCTCCAGAATTACAAGGTGTCAGGTTCTCAGAGACCTTGCTTGGGTAAAAAATCCAAAAAAATGACCCCTACTTAATAAGAGTAACATTCTGATGTGTTGTGAAATACATGAAGACTATTTTTATAGGCTTTATGGACAGATAAGTTGAGAGTGACTCTTGAAGGACCAGCACCACATCCTCTACCACTGTTGATCTTCTTGATCTTCCAGAATCTGGCAGTAAGTTTTAGGAGCTCATTTTTGTCAGTCTCTGCAAGACAGGATAGGAGATGGACTAAAAATGCACTCCCAAAATTTACTGCAACATGGAGCTAAGGAGAAAATGTAGAACTTGAAAAATTGGAAAAACAGCTTAGTGAAAAGCGTTTACAGTTTAAAAGCAAATAAAAATTCCTATTTTTTTATTTATTTTCTTTATATTTTGTACAAGGTTTAAAATGTTCATGAAATATTTTCAAAAAATACTGACGTTTTGAGCAGCTGCATGTTTGAGCAGCTGCATTCCTCTAAGTCAAAGATGAAAAAATGGGATTTACAATGAAGTAATTTACAAAATTATTTTGACTTGAGTTAATTTATTAACGAGTAATGTCTCTTTTGAGTGAATGTGCAAATTTTTAATGTTAACAGGTTTTACCATGTTATTACAACATTTAACCACTTTTTATTAATTTAAAAATTGAGAAATTCTTTCAAATTTAAATCTTGTACAAGAACTACAGCAAAAATCAGTTTGATGCATCTTTTATCAGTATTTTAGAAATTGTATTTGAATATTACCAGTACTGACTTCAATGGATTTCATTCAATTCCTTTGAACACAACTGCTCAAAATGTTCTAAATTTATGAAACCTACACATTCAAAACATTATTACTCTGACATTTTTAATGTAAATGTTAAGTGTAAGTGAACTGTTAAGTAATGTAAGGTCTTTCATGACACTACATATGCTGGCGTGTGGCGTTTATATCAGGTGCTTGATATAAAATAAATGGTGCTTTAAAAGGTCCTTGAAAGTCCTTGAATCTGGTGTTCATGAAAGAGTGGGAACCCTGGAAATTGCATATAAAGATGTCTTTAAGTGGGTCAAAAAGTACTCTAAAGTTCAGCTAATTCCATTTAATATGAATTTAAACTGTAATACAGTTTCACTGAATTGCAATTAACATGCAATTGTCTTGAAAACAAATATTCAGTTCACACTTATTTCTGTAATAAGTACTCCTTTTTAAAGGTGACATATCATGAAAATCTGACTTTTCCAGGTTTTAAGTGCTATAATCAGGTCCCTGGTGCATCTACCAACCAAGGAAACGTGAAAAAGATTAACCTAGTAACTTTGTTTTGGTAAGCCTTTTTCTGGTCAGATTTAGCTCCCATGGTGACATGGCAAAGGGATCTCATTATAATATTACCGTCCCTTAATCTTTAAGTTTACACCAACGGTGCCGTCATTTTGATTTTGCAAGCGACAACGGTGTACCAGCTCGAATGCCACAACGAAAGTTTGAGCAAAGCATGCTAACTGTTCTGTCATTGGCTGCGCAGAACACTGGAGGCATTTTCAAAATGATATAATAAATGATCTGTGGGGTATTTTGAGCTGAAACTTCACAGACACATTCTGGGGACTCCAGAGACTTATATTGCACATTGTAAAAAGGGGCATAATATGTCTCCTTTAAAGGTATGCTGCTACTTTTTCTTGTTTAAAATGATTTTCCTTTACTGAGCCTCCAGCCGGCACTAGATGGAGCATCCAGTAAGGAAGGAAAGGCCGTGAAGTTGCGTTCTCCTCGCCATGATTAGATCCTCTCTATTTCCATTTCGGCTTTTGAAGATGAGGTTTTATGGCAACCTTCTGGATAGATTGTTGCTGTGCCTCTAAATAGCGCAGTTTGCCTGTTACCTGCTGCATGCCAACAGAGGCTCATGAAGACAACAGTCTTATGCAGTGTTCTTTCCCTTATTAGACTGTAGTCAGTAGTGGAATGTCCTTAGAGCATCGAGTGGATGAAACACTTCACTGGAGTGTCAGAAATTTGACAGCTTGGTATGATAGTAAACACTGCCAACCACTAACTACAATAGATAACAGTACATAAAATATATCTCAGTCCTGTAACAAGCAAATGAACCATATGAAAACAGAATGTGATATACAGTAACTCAATACATAAAAGCATACCAAGAAGACAGTAAAAACATCATGTTTTGTATCTTTTAGAGATGAAATAGTAGGGTACAATGGGGCAAAAGACCCCCAGGGGTTCATTTCGATTCTTAATCTCTCCCAAAAACACTAAACATCTAAAAACACCACAGTACTTTTCTAAACGCCTGTTTGTTTCTATGCAGTGATCCAATGTCATTGCATCCAGCAAATTTAAAATTAAAATGTTCGATGTTTAAAATGAGTTTTTGTAGCTAATGACTCATTTCCAAATCAAATTTCTTTTAACATTTTTCAAACAAATTATTCATTTAAAAGAAATAAAAATCGTAATGGCATTTTTGGACTGCAGGACAAAGGAGATGCAGAAGATGATGAGCCTTTCATAACCACCACCTTGAAGTGGAAACCCAAGACAGTCACTGGGCTTTCAGTTTGGACCAATGAGAAGCATTCTGCCACCTCGGGTACATCCATATTCAGTTTTGAATCTCAAACATACTGTAGACTGCCTTTACACTGTAGCGCTGCAGTGTGTGTCATTAAATAGCATTTGTAGTCCCCTTCTCTCACCTTTTAGAGGCTTTTTGATGTTGCTGACCTATAATTACAAATATGTACATGTAAGAAAGGAGAAGAGCGCATCCTCATTTAAAATATATAAATGAGTGATGAAGCGCATCAGTCATAAAACAATACCTACGTTCTGCTATTTGACCATTTTACACATTTTATCAATAAAAATATTTTCAAATACAGTAAGCTGAACTGAAGTACTGTGTCTGTTCAATGTAGATCAAGCCGTGGTGGAAGACTGAGAAAGACAAACCAAAAGATGATACAGAAGAGAGAGGACCGCCGGTTAATTATATCTGCATATATCTGACAGCCACTTCTCATGTTTAGCAATAATGGGATGATCGGAACCTGTATCAGCCTAAAAGAGTTTATTTTGCAATAGTAACCTTCTGACTATACATTATCATGCTTATTACATGACTTCTAAATAAATAAATGTACATGAAGTTTTTATTTGAGTTTTAATTATTTTATCATGTCATAAGAATGAGACATGAAACTTGCACAGCGATGTGGGAAATCGGTTGTTTGTGACAATAGTTATAACAGTTCAGCATCATTACGTAAGGAATAACTGACGGAATGCTGTGATTGACCAATCAGAATCAAGTATTAATTAAAGTCTAATTCACTAACAGAAAAATCTATTTACACATGATTCGGAGGCCCTTTTAACTGAAAAGTGTTGTAATTTTAAAAACAGCAGAGGGCGCAATGAACCAAACAAAAATGAGCTGTAACTGTAAGGTTCTTTGGGAAACCCAAAATGGATCTTCTATTGCATTGCTACAAAATCACTACAAAAACACACTGAAGTGTCTTATTTTATTGTGTGTATTGCATTAAATGTGACCTGTACTATTATGTTTCAAAGACCCAGACACTTGTGAACAATCACTTTTAAAACATTCCCAATGTTTGAAAAGCACCTCATTTTACACATATTTCTAAGCAATTTTAATAATCATACATCATATTCATCAAGGTCTAAATAAAGCAGTTTTATGTCTGTGTCAGAGATACAGGCGTTAAATTCCATGTAATGTTTTGCTGAAAAATTTGAACAGTTTTGTATCTGGCCTGTCCACAGCAACTTTATCACTTATATGCAGTATGCAGTATACTTTCATCATTCATCAAAGTGATGGGAAATTGATTTCTGTTTAAGCATAATTTAAGCATATTTTTACCAGAACTGTCTTTACCATAATGCCTCAGGGCACACTTAACTTTTGTGTTAACGTTTTTTTTTAAATTCCCATTATTTTCAGTGGTGATTTTAATTAGACTGTAATACAAAGCATATTCAACATAACTGATATTTAGAAAATCTGACAGTTACACTTACAAGCAGCATCTTCAGTCACACATACAGTAAAAACAATGTGAGTCATCAGACATTTTTAATCTGAAATCTTAACCCAGTTTTATATCACCATCTTTTCATGTTTAAATACAGTAGGCTTGAAAAAGTACAGTAGGCTATATTTACATTTACATTTAGTCATTTAGCAGACTCTTTTATCCAAAGCGACTAGCGAAGTGCAAATGACAAGTCTCGGTTAGCCTAACGCAGTACACGTAGCAAGGTGTATATACACTGAACAAAATTATAAACGCAACACTTTTGTTTTTGCCCCCATTTTTCATGAGCTGAACTCAAAGATCTAAGACTTTGTCTATGTACACAAAAGGCCTATTTTGAGTTCAGCTCATGAAAAATGGGGGCAAAAACAAAAGTATAATTTTTATAATTTTGTTCAGTGTATATATATATACAGTATATATATATATATATATATATATATATATACTGTATATATACTGTATATTATACACACACACACACACACACACATACACAAAGAAAGACAAGTAGATAGAATAGAAAAAATAGAAAGCTATATCAAATCTAAAGCCTTTAAAACATAAAGAAAACAGAAATAACGGGTATCTCACAGCTTTCTAACGTTATCCTTCAACAGAACAAGTTTGTCAAACTGTCACCCATATATTAATACTCCCTCTTCTGCCATAAGATGACGAAACAACAAAACCAGCCAATGACATTCTTCTTATTTTTACTAGCCAGATGAATGTGAAATTACGAGGAAACACAATGTAGGGGTTGAGAACAGAAACATATCTGCGTAGGCCAGGATTTCAAAGCTTTGTCAACAATAATTCAAGAAGTTTCCTGAGCTCATTGTTGTCTCATATACAATAGCGGGTGCCGAGGGTGAGGGCAATGCTTGGGTCACTGCATGTGCTCTTTCAATGCCTTTGTGAATCACGTCACCCACACTTATTCTGCCTAACAAGCGTCACCCACCATTGGTCAAACAGACATCTAACTGTGACTGGGGGTGTGGTTTTAAACTGGCTTGACCAGATTTCCCAGGAGTCTGTGTTGTGTTCCTTTGATATACATAACTGCCACCAGTGGAGCAGAGGGAGAACTCACACTAGCACATATTTGTGTTGCTGGAAGCTGAGAATATGCCAAGGACTTCCTGAACGCTTCAACAGGTCTGGCTTAGAGCTTACAAGTTCATGGCTGAATCAAGTTTGCTAAAATTCTGGGCAGCTTAAAATGAAGCAATATTCACCCTTCCAGGGATTAAAAGCACTAAGAGGTAATATTTTTTTCTACTAAGTGTATCAGTTTAGTAGGGACAAACCATGATATACTGATATCCAGGATTTAGATATTTAAGAAATATTCAGTCTTCTCTAGATCAATGGAAGATAGCTACGGAATAGAGAAATGATCATAATCAGTGTTATCAAATAGAAAAAAATCATATTAAACAGTTGTTTTTTGTTAGTGTTGTAACTGATATATTAATTACACTGTAATTACATTAAATTATCACAAAAATGCAGTTTCACAGATGCAGATGCACAGTTGAGCATATCATAGAAAGACTATGCAAATAAAATACAAAAGATATATAAACAAATATTACAGAGCATATTTACTGATACACAAATCTAAAATGTAATATTATTTATTAATAAAATAATACTTAAAAAGTATATACTTAAGTCAGTGGTTCCCAACCCTGGTCCTGGAGGCACCCCAATCCTTGGGAACCACTGACTTAATGTATAGAGCAAACTGAATGTAATGTGTAGAGTTTCATAATTACTTCTATTTCTAATGTGTGTGTGTGTTGCTAAATGTACTGACAGCATTTATGGTAAACTAAAAAATACATTAATGAAGGTTCTATTGAAACATGTCATGTACGGATGATGCAGTTGAAATTTAGTACATTTAAAATATATTAACTCTAAATGTATTATTGAATAACAAACTAGTTATAATTCCAATCAAAATCATTATAATCAAATCACACACTACAGTTGAAATTATAATCAAACACTTTACAAGTTAGACAACATATCACAATAAGTGTACTTCTTTAAATCACAACATATATCACAATATGATATTCATTACTGATTGTCAAAAAGGACCACCATTGCAGTGGAGTGGAATCATATCATCATATCAACTTGTATATAACATAAAATGGTTTATATGGAAAGCAGAGAGACTCTAATAAAGGACTAAAGAGGCACCTAGTTACAATTTGATACGACCTAGTTTGTTCCAAATTCAGTAAAGCAACACAAGCTGAAGGCTGGATTAGAGAGTGTTGTGCAATGCATTGGTAGGTGTGTGTGACTTCCTTAAATGTTCTGCAGAAAACAAAGGCCACTCTTATATTCATAAGCTTTCTCCCTAAGGAGCTTGGGTGGGCTGTTCTCACACACGTATGCAACTGCAGTCTTTCCTGTTTGAAATCCCTCTAGTAACCGGATAGCCGGTGATTTCTATTCTACTTTCCTCAGACAAGCTCGGTATACTCACCCCTTGGCGTTATGCTCACTTTCCAAAACCACAGTCCAGGCAGCGAGACTAAGGATAAAAACATCAGCAGTCATGCATCTTACTTTTTGTAAAGCAAGCCAGTCAGTGAGCTATTTGGAAGCAGATTCCAGTGAATGTTAATATATCATGTTCAGTACAGTGTCAGAACGGACTTTATAAATTACAGTGATCATGATGAATGAGCAGCAGTGAAATCTGGACTGGGAATGCAGCACAGGTTTTGAATACAAGCCTTGGTTTAATCCTTCTTTTGACACAAGAGCTGCAGCTAAAGGCATAATGCATGGAAAAGCATCTGATAAAAATGGGACTTTTACTTGCGGCAAATATAGTCTGTTTTCTGTAACTCAGTATCAACTAGGATTTCTGTGATTTTTACTAGACAAGCACACAATCACACATCCTTGTTATTATTGTTAACTAAAATTAAAACAATTTAAAAAGATTTTTTGCTAATGGAAAATGAAGCTATAGAATAATATATGCATATTAAATAAAAAACTTTAAAAGCTTAAACAATAAATAGAAATGTTGCCTTGGCAACTACCAAAATAAAACAGGTTTAAATTGGAGAACTAAAATAAATAAATAATAAAAATGAAGGTAAATAGAATATATGTACAATACACACACACACACACACAACAATTTAAATTACAATGCTGAAAAATGCTGAAAACAAAACTGACAATATAAAAATGAATATTATTAATAAATATATAAATAATACTGGTAGCACTAATAAAGTAAAACTGTCACAAACACACAAAGACATATAATTTATATATATTTTTATAATTTGCAAATTAGAATTGGTTACTTGTAAGCAAAAGCTGAAAATTTTAACTAAAATGAAAGTTTGTTTTTAAAATTAAAAATATTAACAAAAACTATAATAGTACATTAATCATTCTAAAATAACACTGGTTGTAAGAAGAACATTCTAAAAAGGAATAACAGGATACAGGTTTGAACATGAGGGTGAATTAAATATAACATAATTTACATTTCAGGTGAACTATTCTTTTAGGAATTAACATTTTCAGTGCAATAGAACTGATGCACTGAAAATGAGGACGGAAAAGATCAAATGCGACAATACTGACAAGTGTGTTAACTCTTCTCTGGTTAATTACAGGGTATGAAAAGCAGAGGAACATTTTACAGACAGACAACACTCAAACCCAAGAGAAAATCTGACCTTCTCCCCATCAAGGTCTTCTGTCTCTGCAGTCATGAAGGACCGCATGGAGGAGTTGCGTCAGCGGATGAAGGCTAGCGATAAGGTGGTGGACAACAACCCCTTCAACGAGGAGGAGGACATGGACCCGTCCTCACTGATAGGCCTGCAGGCCGTGATCTTCGAGGCAGAGCCCGTCCTGGAGAACTTCCTGAAGGAGGCTCAG